GCAACAGTGGCAAACTTGGAAACATCTCTATGTCTTTTTCTCTGGTGAGGCACCTCTGGGCTCACCCGAGACCCTGGAGTTGCTCTAGTGAGACTCAGAAGTGGCCTCTGCGATGAGATGAAAATCCTCAAAGACCAGAATCCATTGTGATGTTTGGTAAACATCACTGAAAAGCTCCAAAAGACCGCTGTCCATCCTCACGAGTCTCTACCCACCTGCTGCCGTTGTTTGTTTTTAAATAAAAATGCTGTTTTGACTCAGCTTTGAACAGCAGATTGAGTTTGCATCCCAACCACTTCCCACCTCAGGCTCTCACGTCCTGGTCACTGTCCGGGCCAGGTAGCAACCACCACGGACAGCACCTGTGCCCTGGAATTGTGAATGTGCTCAGCTTCTCCAGCCCACAGGGAGCGGGAGGAACTGCGCTCACCCCACCTCACAGCTCCAGCTTGCTGCTACTGTCCCCATGTGCAAACCTGTGTGTCTGCCCCACCTGGCAGCCTTCTTTCCCTGGGAGGGAGCTGTAGGTCACAAAAGTTCCGCCTTTTATCTGTGCGCTTGTCATTATGTTGGGTCCCTCCAGGAGCAGAACTGCTAAGTCATTTAAAATAATTACTGTTCCATTTATTTACACTTATATCTAACTATTCCTCCACCTATTTTTCCATCTCCCCTCTGTTCATCTCTCCATCCACCTATCCACCCATCCTTCCATCCATCCACCCCACCCATCTACCCACTCACCCACCCATCCACCCATCCATCCACCCACCCATCCACTTACCCACTTAACCACATATCCATCTATAAGATACCCACACCCCCAGGCAATGTGCTCTTGGAGTTGAATGAACAAACATACTCCTTCCAATTCCTTATCGATGGGCAGAGCCAGGCTGGGGAGTCATGTCAAAGGACCCTGTGGATGCAGTGACAACCCACACCCCTCTCTCTCTCTGGACTAGCACTCTTTTGTGCTTTGTTTTTGCTATGGGAGAATTTAGCTAAACCCTTCCTGCTGGGCATGGGGGGCCCAGCCCAGTCTCTCATGCCCTAGTCTGACCCCTCAAAGCACAAGAGTGAGCTCTGTGCCGGCTTCTCGAAGTACAAGACAAGGTTATTTTGCTGAATTTGCACAGCCAACCAAGCCATTATCCCATTTTACAGATGAGGAAATGGAAGCTGAGAGGCTACTTGTCCTAATACCCGCTCTGGCCACTGCCTTCCCTCAGCGCCTCTCCAGGTAAGTGACAGCCAGGCCTAGAACCAATGACATGTTTTATGGGCCTCAGCAAAAAATGAAACGTGGGGTCCCTTCTTCAGAAAGCAGGAGAAAACTGCCATTACAAGTATCCAACTCTTAGACTTTTGCCTTTCTTCTGTGGTTTCTCTCCAGGAATTGTCACGGAGTTCTGTTTTGTTAATGGTCCAGGTACAGAAAAGTTAAACATTTAAATCTATATAGCATGGGTTTTTAGCGTTTGTCTTTATGTTGTGATTCTAATTTTAGACACAGACATCAGCGTGTTTGATTCATGTGTGTGGACTCACTGCAGTTGAATGATCCATAGTTCACAGCTCCTTTGTGTGTTTTCGTCTCACCAGGCCAGGGAAACCAAGAAACCAAGAGCCCTGTACTTCTTTCCCTTCCAGATGGAAAACTCTACCACCGAGAGAAGAAGAAGGGG